GGAGTCGGATGTGTAGCTGGCGGTGCCGATGCCGTGGAAGAGCATCCGTAGGAAGGCCCGGACAGGGCCCCGCACGGGTTCCCGGCCGTGTTGTTGCCGTACACGATGCCATGATGATGGGATGCCGTGGGCGAAGGCTGCGGTGGTAAGTTTCGCCTTTGGAGCGCCGTAACCAAACCTCGAGGGGGTTGGAAAGCTATGAGAAAACACGGGGGAAAAGGAAATGTTCGAACCACAAGCTGGTGAGCGGAATCAAGCGGGTAAGGTCACAAGGTGAGAGAACGGTCGCGGAAAGGCAAAACAGCAAAACAAAGAAAAAGGCGATCAAACAGTGCACCAATTCCTTCCCTGGTTGGGTGGAAGATGGTACAGTTGCGCCCCGCTAAGCCGGGCGCTGCAGCGCGATGCCTCTCAGCATCGCAAACTTGGAGTGAAGGCACCACTTTTTGCCTCGGCGGCATGCGAAGTGGCGCCGCACGTTGTGTTGATCCTCGTGGCTTCCCCCGGATTCGAGGATTTTGTGCTGAATGATGGAGCGTAGTTCCCCAAAAGCGATGGCGCCGAGTTGAGACTTTCCGATTGTAAAGTTCTGCAAGAGCTGGCCGAGCGTGTCGGGCGTGCGTGCCGTGGGGGTGGCCTGAGCGTAGCATCCAAAGCTCGGGTAGTCATGGTTCTCGGGCCCCCCCCCCCCCCCCCCCCCCGCCCACAGGGGGGGGCGGGTGGGCCCACCCCGCCCCCCCACCCCCCCCCCCCCCCCCCCCCACCCCCCCCTCCCAAGCAGCGGGTCGGATCATGTTCTCATGGCACATGCGGCGCGCTCGATCCGGGGTGGTGCCGTGCACATACATGACAGCGTGATGGGAGGCCGTGCCGGATCCAGCTTCCGGGTCTCCGCCAGCAACTGGCCAAGGATGAGGTCGGGGAAACCAAGTGGTTGCGAACACCATGCCGTGTGATTCCCGTCCCAAGAGGTGGTAGAAGCTGGGATCGAACGGTATGGGATCATCCGTGTCCATGGTTCGCAGTTCCCAGCATTCCGCGAGGAGATCGGCATGTGAAGGTGGCAAGGCAGGGTCCAGGTCCATCAAAAAGGCCTTAGTCTGTTCCATCCTGGAGATGTCCAAGGCTGGAAGCGGGTCCAGCTCCCCCAACTCCCTAGGCGTGGGAACTCGCAGCGGGTCAGTCTTGGCCGTGTCCATGACGTTTCTCCATAGATCAAGCCACCGGTTGTCGGAAGTGGTGGTGGCATTGATGTCCGCCTCCGATGGAGGGGGATCCAAATCACCGGTGTTGTCGAAGGGGGGTTGGGGAGGGTGAGGAGTAGCCGGCGTGGGTCGGGGAGGGGGAGGGGGAGTGGAAGTGAAGGCCGCCGCAGGTGCAGGGTGAGGGGGCAAGCTAGTGTTGTGGTGGCCGGTGCGGGAAGTGGGGTGGGGTTGCTGCCCATGGTGCTGCAGTGACCAGGACGATCGTTTGTCCTGGTTGTTTCGGTGGCCGGTGTGGCTGGCGCCGTGGTGGTGCATGTCCCAGCGGTTTTTTTTCTGTGGTGGGTATCCCCACGATTGGTTCCGCCAGTGTGAGGAGGACCATTGAGACTTGTTGGGATCCTTCCCGGAAGTGCGCCAGGAGTCCTTCCCGGAAGTGCGCCAGGAGGTGGAATCATGAGTAGTGTGAGTGGGTCGGTGCGAAGTCGTGGCACTGGGTGCAGGGGAGTGTCGAAGGTGGGACCTGTGTCGGGGGGAGCGGGAGCGGAGGGAGACAGTGGAGTGGTGTGCACGTCGGGAGTGGTGGGAGTGTCGGGAAAGGGAACGTGACCTGCTGTAGCTGCGGGATCGTCGGGTGTCGTGTCGTCGGTGCGACTTGTTGTGCCTGCGATGGTGGCTGGTGTGGGAGTGGGAGTGTCGGCGCTGCCTGTGGGGGGAACGGGATCTGCGAGAGTGGGAATGGTGCCGAGTGTCCGGGGGAGGGTGGTTGGTTGAGGAGGTAGCGGCAGGAGCCGCAGCGGCAGCTTCGGGCGCGCGCGCCGGCTGAGGCTCGGGCAGTGAAGATGGCATGCTGCTCTGAGTCATGAAAGGCATGATGGTGCCAGGTGCCAAGTTGCCGTAATTGGGATTGCCACCGTAGGGCATCATGGCCATCGGGTTGCCAAAGTTCGAGAGGCCGCCGTAGGGCATCATGGGGAAAGGTGTGAAGGATGCCGTCTGCGAGTTGGGCGACGGTACAAGGTTCATGGGCTGCGTCATCTGGGATGACAGCTGCAAGTTCGGTCCACAATTGCCTGGTGAGCCGGACGCGGTGCCGGTCGCAATGCTGTGCAGGAGCGAATGCATCATGTCATAGAGCTGGTGTCCAGCCATCTTGCAAGGGAGAGAGAAGGTTGGAAAGGGGTGAAAACAAAACCACACCTGCAGCAGAAAAGCGTCAAAGGTGCAAATGCATGCGAGCCAACTTCAACCTGCGAAACGAAACCAAACAGAGGGAATTCCACCAGGGGACCGCCAAA